CACTAACTTGAAATGAATTCATATTTAAGATTAAATTATAACTTTTTAATTTATAATCTTCTGTTAATTCAATTTCAGTTAATTTCATTGTTAGTAAATCACTTATCATATCAAAATATGACGTTATCTTTTTATTTAAACCTTTATATAAGTAAATTTGTAATGCAACAAAATAAGTATGATGTGGGTTGTTTTCATTTGTAAATTGTTTAATGAATTCTCTTAATTTTTTACAGTTATCAATATTAATTTTTTCTTCAAAAATTATACTTTTTTCTTTACTTTCATTTTCATCTTCCTTATTAGATTTTTCATTTTTATTAGAATTTTTACTTTCATTAGAATTTTTTTCTTTACTATCATTTTTTTCTTCCTTATTAGATTTTTCATTTTCGTTAGAATTTTTACTTTCGTTAGAATTTTTACTTTCATACTCTTTGGAAATATTAGATTCTTTACTAACATTCTTAATTTCTTCATTTTTATCTTCTTTACTAACATTTTCATGTTGATCATCACTATTTGACTGACTATGTATTTTTTCATCTTTCGAAGAATCATCTTCTTTATCATTTTTAACACTTTCTTTTCTATCTTCATTACTGTGTTTTGAATTAGATTCATCTTTTTGATTCCCATCCTCCTTATCTTCACTACTATGTTTTGAATTATCATCTGAATTAATATTTTCATTTAATTTTTTATCAAGTTTTTCATCTAAACTTTTAAAATCATCTTCTATTAAATCCTCTGTTTTAGTTTCTTTCTCATAAATTTTCTTAAGATGATCAGTGTTTATTTCATCAATTGGTTTAACTTTATAAGCTAATATCAATAATAATACTAATAAATTTTTAAAGCCTATTTCACCTTCAACTTTACTTTTCTTATTTTTATCTAAATATAATAAATCTACATCATTGTTTTCAAGGTATTCTAATATTATTTCTCTGGATCTCATTAAACTCTGATCATTACTATTTATATTAGAAAAGTATAAATCAAATAAAATAAATTCACAATGTTTTTCACAGGCATACTTAGAAAAATAAATTAAACTTTCACTATCTAAATTTTCAGAAAACAGCTTTATAATTGTATTATGTTCTCTTTTGTTGAGATTATCATCACTAAATAAAGCTTTCAGAAAATTTAACTTAAAATCACTATTTCCATTTGAGGAAACAACTATCAAATCAGACCAATCTATTGCTTCATTAAGATTTTTTATTTGATTTAATATCAAAACAGGTCTTTCAGTTGATCCAACATCCTCCATAAATTCATTTCTATCAAATACTTTACATTTGGGATAAATCATATCTAAATATTTATACTTTTGTGATAAAAAAATATCTTTATATGGTTCTAGCGAGGTATCTTTAAGATCATCATTTTTAAATTCTATTCCTTCTTTATTTTGTTTTATATCCACATTATCATCATTATTTTGTTTAATAAATCCCACATCTAAGTATTTTTTAACATCCTTCACAAAACTCATATTATCATTACCCACATCAACGTACAATTTAAACATATTGGGACATATTTTCATTAAGTTAATAACAACTAAAACTTCTTCAAACACAGTAGAATTTCTATACTCACTTATCTTACCAATTACTTCTCTAAAAATACCTCTTAAATGACTTTTTCTATCAAAACTTTTATCACTAAAATGATAGTATTTTAATAAATGTAAACAAGCTATCACAATTTCATCACAATCTTGCACTTTAAGATAAAGATAAGTCATTGGAGTATACAAAGTTTCAACCAAGTAAGATAATATAGAAACTATTAATTTTTCATTAAATAATTCAGGTGCACTTTCAATCATCCCACTAATAACAACACAACATCCAATTAAATTCTTTTCAACTAAATTATTTGTAACGTATTTAATTAATTTTGATAACATGGGTTTCATATTTTTATAAACAAGTTTAGTGTTATCTAATAACTTAATTTCTAATGCTAATAACCTATGATCTATTTTCTTGTCAAATATTTCATCAATTGTCTCTTTAAGAATATTATAAATCTTATTGTAACCTAATAACTCTTTTAGGAAATTAATATTTTCATCTTTAAAAGTAATTTTTAATAAACAAATAGCATTTAAATAACACTTAACTTCTGATGGTTTTACTTTTTTTAATAATTCAACCATCATTTTCTCAAAATCAGTATCTATTACATGTTCATATTCTACATAGTCTTTAATATAAATGGCTAAATTATTTAAGCATTCCCTATTTAGAGTAAATTTAAAAACTTCTTTGTTAAAATCCCTAATTTTCTTTTCTACCGCATACAAATCCTCATTGTTTAATGTTTTGTTTATTTTAACTGAATAATCAACAATACTTTCTTCTTCCATAATAAAAATTGAAACTTAAATTTTCTTATTGAACGAAACAAAATTGTTTCATTAAAAATTTTCCGTTATTTTTCAAATGAATCTAGAAATTAATGAAGAAGTAAATAATTCAAAAATAATAGTTAATAATACAGATAGTGTAATTTTAATTAAAGAAGATGAATTAAAACATAAGTCTGAATTAAAACATGAATCTTATGATGTATCAGATAATTTTGATATGGAGAATGAAATTAACCAAGAAATTAAAGAAAGAGAATACAGTTTTTATAAAAAATCAATCAAATCACTAGTTAACATTTTAAATAAAAGATTAGAAAAAAATAATAAGAAAAGTGAAAATAAAGAAAATGAGAAGAAGATTGAAAAAAATAAAGAAAGTATTTTAAAAAAACAAGCTTATAAATCATCACGTAAACATATTAAAAAATCTATTTTAAAAGATTTAAGAAAATATTGATTAAATTATTTTTATTTATAAATAGTTTTAGAATTTACTAAAAAGGAAATTTAAAAATAAACATAAAATGTTTAGAAGAAGAAGCTATATATATTCATTAATGGTAGTAGGATGTAAAAAGAGTGGTAAATCATCATTTTTAGATACACTGGTGGGAAAGACAATAACTAAGAATGAAAATATTTTAGATATTAACATTTATAAGCTTAACTTAGACTGTGATGATAAATCATACAAAAAAGTGACCTTAATAGACACACCAGGATTTGATACTGAAAATGACATAGAGATACAAGAAGTAATAATTGATTTTATTAAGGCACAATACAATTGTGCATTAGAGGAAGAATCAAAAATAAGAAGAGATGTAAACTTTGAGGATCCTAAAGTACATTGTTTAGTTTATTTAATACCATCAACAAGTGATGGGTTAAAACAGAAAGAAATAATGTTTCTTAAGAAAGTTTCTAAATTAGTAAATATAATTCCAGTTATTTCAAAAGCAGATGGATTAACATCAAATGAAACATTAAGGTTAAAAAAGTATATTTTAGATCAGTTATATTATCATAAAATAGAAATATTTAACTTAGACACACCAGATTCTGTAAATCAATCAGACTTAGAACTCAATGTGAATTCTGATCTTCCATTAACATTTGTTTCCGACTTATTTAAAGAAAAATTATCAACAAACTTTACAAAAGGACAAGATTTTAACTTCCAATCAGAGTTTCAAGTTTTAAAAGATATTCTTCTTAATATACACATAGAAACACTAATAGAAACAACAAACACAACACTCTATGAAAATTACAGAACAGAAATGCTAGAAAACAAACTAAAGAAATAAAAATATTTATTTATTTTTTTAAAAAGCCCTTCAAATGGGAGTTCCATCACTATTTAAATGGTTAAAAATAAAATATCAAGGTGTAACAACAAAAATGCTAAAAGGATTAGACTATAATGTAGATTGCCTATATCTAGATTTCAATGCAATAATCCATCCATGTACGATTAAAGAGTGTAATAGTTTGGAAGATGTAGATAGAAAATTATATGAAAATATAGATATCTACTTGAACAACTTAATTCATAGTGTTTATCCTAGAAAATTGATCTACATATCAGTAGATGGACCAGCACCAGCAGCTAAAATAAACCAACAAAGGATGAGACGATTTGAAGGAGCCAAAGAGGTTTTTAATGGAAATCAATACTATTTAACAGAAGATGTGCAACTTAAAGATAAAGAGAGATATAATTTAATATTTGATAAGAACTCAATAACACCAGGAACAAAGTTTATGGAAAGATTAGATAATTTCATAAGAACTTACATAAAATACAAAATGTCAACAGAAGAAGTATGGAAAAGATGTACAGTTATTTATTCAGATCACAAAGTACCAGGAGAAGGAGAACAAAAGATAATGGAATATATAAGAATTCATCAAGGACATAATTACAATAAAGATTATAAACACGTAATTTACTCTCCGGATGCAGATTTAATATTTCTGGGACTAACACTTCAAAATCATAATGTAAGAATAATGAGAGAAGATGAGATTAAGAAAGTGATAGAGACTGATAATCCAACATCAGAACTTGCATTAGAGACAGATTTTAGAAATATGAAATTCATATTTGTAGAAATCAATAAAATGAGAAATTCAATGGTTGACGCATTTATTAATGACATTGGAGAAACTTTTGATTCAAAGAGGTTTATTAGAGATTTTATTTTCTTATGTTTTACAGTAGGAAATGATTTCTTGCCATGTTCACCAGCATTTGAAATTAGAACAAATGCAATAGAAAAAATTAGAAGTATTTATGTAAGATCATATAAGGAAACTAAAAGTTACATAGTAACGGATAGTCTTACTATCAACTATAAAGCACTTATAGCATTCTTTAGACTATGTGCAGCAGAAGAGGATGCTAATTTAGAAGATAAGAGAGATAATTTAATACGGAGTAGGGAGAGAATGAATAGAATATTTGATGAGGATGTTGAATTCTTACTTGATAATGAATTTGGTAAGAAAAAATATTACAAAGAAAAAATGAATCTTAAAAATCAAGATGATTTGCTTTCTTCTTGTTTAATGTATGTGAAAGGAATGGAGTGGATATGTAAATATTATTTTGATAATAATTGTCCTTCTTGGAATTGGTATTATCCTAATTACTATGCACCTTTTATGAAAGATTTATGTATGTTAGATCCAGATATTGTTATTTCATTTGCCAAGTCAGTTCCTTGTAAGGCATATGAAACACTTTTACTTGCATTACCGTCAGTTTCTATGCATTTATTACCTGAAAGGCTAAGAAAATTTTACTTTGATAATGAAAGTATTAAGCTTAAATCTCCTTACTGTGATAAAATTGATTTAAAGTCTGATAAAGGGGATTTCAAATATGACTACATTGAGATTTATAATTCTCTAGATACTAA